TTTTTTTTTTTTTTTTTTTCCCCCTACAGGGGGCCGGGGTCCCGGGTGCCAACCCCCGGAACCCCGGAACCCCGGCGGGGTCCCGGGGCCGGGGTTCGACAACCCTGGATTGGAGTAATAAACTCCGGGGCTACATGAACCTCGCCACATCCAGTGTCGCAGTGTGGCCGCTGGTCGAGAGGTTCTTCGAGATGTTCAACGAAGGAAAGCTGTCAGTTGGCGATGGCAAAATCCCGCGTGACATGCCCGGGAGGATGGAAGGCCGCCTACCAGGCCCGTACACCGACGAGACCAAGGGACAAAGAACATTGTACCATTGCATATATGCAACAGATGGTCCCAAAGGCTCCACCGTATCGTGGAAGGATCTTTGTCCTTCCTACTTCAAAAATTTTGGGGATTTGACATGTCGTGAGAGGGAAGTTGCGTTGCTCCTGCTCATGAAGGGGAAGGTGGTCGCAACGAACGTCAAGGTCTTTTCTCCAAGAGTGAACACAGAGTGCCTCCTCGACATCATGCGAAAGGAGCGGTACATGGTGAGTATGTTCAATTATATTCTGTTCCGCGCGGAGGGAAGGGCGGACGACGAATGGAACGACGCGTTCTTCATGTCGTACAAGGACCTTGAAGACAGGTATGGGCCAAACGGTCTGTGCGCTGCTAAATGGGAGAAGGAACGGGACAAGTTACATGTCAATAAGGTGAAGATGGTCCCTCGACGACTTAGAGGAGTGGAGGAGGCAAGGCAAGGTGCGGGCTTGAGGCCTACAGCGGCAATGTATAAGGAGGCTCCGTTTCACCCTAAGGTCTTCATATACACTGTAATCGATAAACTCAATTTGCTTCGCGCCGAGGTGAAACGGATCGCCTCCAGCGTGCGTCATATTGTGTGGGACAAGCTTGGCAAACAAACGACGTTGCTACCTGTGTGCATGCCATCGAAGGAAGTGTTGGCAGCGCCAGACGACATCGTCGCTGCAGCGCAAAAAATTACATACAGGGCCGCCATCGTGGACATCCCATCCTCAAACTTCAGCACGGTGTGGACCTCTCACGAATTTGATTCCTTGCACACACTGATGATCAAGTGTTGTGGCCAGAATTGGGTCCTTTTCTTCTTTGCGTCGTAGAAGGTGCAAAGCGATGTTCTGCGTCACTTGTTCCGCTGGAAAGACGTCGAAGTCATCCCCGGGACCTGGAAACGGGTGGAAAGGCCGCCCGAACGACATCACACGATACGACAATATGGCTATGATGAGTCGAGATATGATGGCCATTGTCCTGCACGCCGAGGGAGGGGATCTAAAAAAAGTGACTGTCAAACCCCTACTCCACAACGACCTCACAACTGTGCACGTTGTGGAGGAGAAGTTCGGGAAGTGTCAAGGAAAACACGGTGGGATAGAGGGCGATGATAGTGCGGTGTATTCCATCTGGGAGCGAGAGCCTGGAAAGTTGCGTTCGTTGTGCGGGTTATTTGTCGGAGAGGCGGAAGGTATGCTTTTATTGGGTAGAGCGCACGCAGGTCTTGTGCGGGAGTTGTTACTGACATGTAATAATGTCATTGCCTGCGACGAGTCGGCCAAGGACATTGCATATCTGACAAAGTTTGTCGATATACTTGTGAAGGATGAGAGATTCGTTTGTCATGTCGAGAAGCCACGTTGCAAACATCGTAGCAACAGGGACATGTTCCGCAAGTTGGGACGCAAGAGACTGAAGGTGTGGGAATACCTGTTCCGCGATGCGCCGCAAGGACGGCTTGACGGGAATTACATCTACAGGAAAGCAAAGGTGACAGGGACCCTGAAACATTATCACGGTGCTCTTACTAGCGCTTTGAGACTTTTGTTGCTCGATGCGAGATCCTGAAGTTCGATCTTCATAAAGACCGGCTGACGTCCAAGGACTACGCTAACCTCGCAAAATCGGGTGACAGCTTTAACCCCGTCGACAGCGAGGAAGACTCTTCAGAATCCGACCTCGAATTGGGCGAGGACAAGGGTGGTGAAGGTCCGAGCGGTGGCATGGTGCGGTCACACGATGAAGGAACCGTTCGCTCACATGAAAGACCCGTACCGGTGGCCGCCCACAATGTTGGCTCGATGGTGGCCCCCATGGAGGGCACCGGTTTGCCAAACATGGGAATATGTGGTCCCAATGATGAAGATGACATTGATATGCCAGGCGAGGCGTCGAAGCTCGCACCACGCGATCCAATTCCTCTTGGCTATTGTGCTGATTCGACCACAATTTATTTCTTGGGGGACAAACACGCCCGCACTGGTGAGGACAAGTGGGGCCATGACATCGTGTGGCATGAGGGCATTTTTTAGCCCTGCATCCAAGATACAGAGTGGAAGATGGCGATCAAATACACACGCGGATGGCAGACGTTTCGCCGGATGTCAAAGGACAATTGGTTGAAAACGACGGAACTCGCGATTATGTACCGCGTGCAAAAGGAGAATCCGGGGCAGAGCGAGGGCGCTGTCAAAGACAAGGCCAAAGAATTGTTTTCTGTATTGCGAGACAATCAGCAGTTGGAGTACAGTTGGAAATTTTATGCCCTGCGAACGAGTCCCTCATGTGGGTCAATCGACTGAAAGGTCAATCAAACTATCGGAACCATGGAGGAGAGCTGCTCTCAGGATGTCGTGCCTTTGTTGGCATCGCCCCCCGTACCCACGCAGGCAGGGCAGAGGGAGGATGACGGGACTACTGTAGTGAAGACTCAAGAGGTTCACATGACGTCTATGCCGGAAATCTCCGTCGCCACGACAGAACCGTCCCAACGCATGGATGTGTCAACGCATTGTCGTCAGATGCAGGTGCCACGTACGGGAGTTTATTACTGACATGCGCCGCATTAGAAGGCACATCCGAAATGCAGTCAGAGTTTGGTGTTGGCCCGAGCGTGCCGGACAGTCAGTTGCAACCGGAGTTATGCACAGGCAAAGGTGATGCACAATCACCGCTGACACCACAGGTAGGGGCCGCTGCGGATGGTGGGAAGGGAGCGGATGTGGAGGGAATCCTCCATCCTCGCAATCTTGAGACCTTAACCGATGATTTTGATTATGGGGGTGAGGGTGGAAATGACGTGGTCAATACGAGGG